GTGGAGAACCACAGGTTTAGGGCAGCAGCTGGCAACCTTTTCAAGCAGCAGGCCAGAACAACCCTGCTCTGGTCTGTTGTGGGCTGGGTGGCTTCAGCTGTGAATCAGTGTTGGGGTCAGGCCACTGGGAGCTGCTTCTGTGATGCTGTCTTTTCCCCCAGCCCCTCCCCACTCCTCAGCTGGGGTGTGAGTGTAGCTGTCAGCTGCTGGGGAGATGCTCTGAGCTTGGTTTGCTGGAATCTGTGCCTATGCCACAGCCTTGAGGAGGTTGGTGTGTGGGTGGGGTCCTGGGCAAAGCAGTAGCATCATGGGCACAGCTCCTTGCTGCTCAGCTTTGGCACCAGCGCATGCACGGGGTCAAGCAAAGCCCTCCTGCTTTATGGGCCAGTCCAACTTCTTAACAGCCAGGGGCCATTTGCACCCTGAGTTACATGCCATGGGGCAGGCATCCCCCAAGAAACTGGTGCCCCTTGCTGTAAGCCCTCTGCAGCCGTGCTGCACAGTCTTCCCAGGTGTGCAGTGGGCATCCTCTTCCGATGCTGTCCTGCAAGGGTGTCCTGAGCCCCATTACGGATCGTAGGCTCCATGGGGCATGCTGCCCTGCCCTGCTCTGCCCCCACGGATGGGGGTCAGAAGTGAAAGCTGGAGGAAGCAGGAGTCCGAAGACCACAGCAGCAGGAGCAGTGGGGAAACTGGCACACAAACCAGGAGTCTTTAACCCCCTGCAGACTGGATGCATCCTTTGGCCTGCCAGCTGGGCAGCCCTGATTTAGGAGTAGCATACTGCCTGCGTGGGGGTCAGACCAGATGAACCCCGATGCCCCTTCCAGTCCTAGGATTTTAAGCTTTTTTTGTGGGTGTTTAAATAGGCAATAACCAGAACTCTTCTGGACACGACCAGAAACCCACTCTTGAGACTGACACCTGAAGACCAAATTGGGGAGAAGCCAGAGAACGCATTAAAGCCTGGTACAGTGGATCTTGGCTGACATTCAGAGATGACTGAGAGGTGGTGGCGGGGACTGGAGGCAAGCTGAGAAGGAAATAAAAGAGAGAGGCTGTTGCTGCTTTAGTGGGTTCGCTCCGACCTTCTTGGAAGCCAGGCACTTGGGCCAGAAGAAAGGCCTCGCTGCGTCACTAGCCGGCGCTCCCTGCCCTTGCCCGGGACGCCCCGGTGCGTGTGTGGGGTGACAGCGGGCGGGCCCTGCGGCGGCACTAGGGGCGGCCCCGGCTGAGCGGCAGCGGCCCGGAGCAATCGCGGCCAATGGGCAGAGCTGTGCGGCCGGGCGAGGCCCCGCTG